GCTAGTTACTTGGGAGAAGAGACCGACACCCACCTCGCTACAACCTCCTCTCAGGTAGTTGTAGAGCGTTGTAAGGTCTCCCCTGAGCCTCCTCTTCTCCAGGCTAAACAACCCCGGTTCCCTCAGCCGCTCCTAATAAGACTTGTTCTCCAGACCCTTCACCAGCTTCGTTGCCCTTCTCTGGACACGCTCCAGCACCTCGACATCCTTCTTGTAGTGCGGGGCTCAAAACTGAACACAGTATTCTAGATGTGGCCTCACCAGTGCTGAGTACAGGGGCATGATCACTTCCCTACTCCTGCTGGCCACACTATTGCTGATACAGGCCAGGTTGCCATTGGCCTGTAATTATAAAATTACTTTGCTTAAGCAAACCTACAGAAGTAATTAACTGCATAGAAATTGAAGCATGGTATATTCAAATGCAGTAATTTCTGCAATGGAGATGGAGTGTAATTCTTTTTCCTTTCCATTCTCTTATTTGTGAATTTGCAGTATTTATCCCCTTGATTAGTTTTTACTCTATGGATTTTTTTTTTAGTCTCCCATTTCTTTAAAGCATCGAGACATTAAAAAAAAAAATCATTTGCTGATGACTAATTTTGTGTTGTTCCAAGCATAAAGAAGACATTGCTTCCTTCAGTGAGCAGTCTTAACGCAGAGCCCGTATTTCCATTTTTTAGTGCTTGTATAATATAGTGTCTTCTTAAGTCTTAACTTCTCACATAATGAGAAAGATTAAATCTTAAAGCTTTTTTTACACAGTTGCAGTGTTTTGCCCTTTCATGCAATATGTCAGTGTCTTGTTTCTGATTTCAGGCTAGCGTTGCTTTGGAAAAGCTCCATGAGCTTTAGTGAAATTATTCTGATTTAAGTCTGTGACACCGGAATCAAGCCTTTAGGGTTTATATTTATATTTTCAGTGTTACATTTCCCTTTTCTACTGCTGATGCTTCATTTCTGCCTACTTTCTCATGCTGAGTAGTATGGAATTAATTGCAGATAACGTTCAATGTAAGGATTAGGGTGTTAGCAACAGAGCTGGTGAGGTGGTGGTGGTTGTTGCTGTTGGTTTTGGTTTTTATGCGGCCTGCATCATTACAGGGTAAAATGGTTGTGAAATACATTGGATAGAATATCAGCTGCAGATTAGACTGTCCATTTATGCCTCGTTAAAATCTCTCTGAAGCAATCAGTTATTAGATAGGCTCATTGCAACAGTGTTTTTCAGGTATCAAAGTGACAACTGATCTTATTTTAATTCAAATTAAAATTAAATATTTTGTAGGGTAAATGAGCCATACCAAGAATCTACCTTGTAGATAGGTGTAAAAGAATTTATATGGAAAATGATAGTTTTAAAACCTCTTTTCTCAATGAGTAAATGTACAACACGCATTCTTTTCTTGCTCTTTGTTAAGATGGTGCCTTTTAAAGGTGCTGTGTAAAAAGCCTGTTTAAAAAAAGCATGTTCATTGTGTTCTATATTAAGCAATGATGTAGCCAGACTTGGATTGGGTAATCGCAGCTCTAAAGATGCTAGCACGTCAGGAAATGAAATTGCTGCGAGGAGCTGATGTTTACTGACTGTGTAAGTGGGGAATGAGGGAAACCGAATATAACCTCTTGGAAGCATGAAAAAAATTTCCATAAACTTTAAAACAATTCAGTGCATGTCCTTCTAGACATACAAATAAATATCACAAGCATTCGGAATGATACCTATGTCAGGCCCAAGAGGGCATTTTGCCCAGCCTCTTGCTGCCTCGGTATATTTTGGTGGACATTCATCCAGTTCATTTTAAAGCTCAGGAGTGGCAAAAAGCCCTATTGCTGCTGGATTGGTTGATCACATTACCTCTAATACACACTATCTGCAAAATCAGCTGCATTTTCTTCACCTACAAACTTTAATATTGGCATATGCTAATATTTGAGTACTTGATTTTTTGCAACTTCAGTGCTCTGATGATGTGAGTGTGTGTTTGCATGTTGGAGGGAACGTTGTACACTATGTATTTGAAACTGGGAAGTGTTTGAGCAAAAAGTTTTGCTAATAATTTTTTTTTCTAGTAGTACTTTGGAAAATAGAAAATCTCCCTGTCCTCAGTAAAGCTGCCCTTGGTTCTTATTTTCAGTAGTTTTACACGAACAAATGTAATTCTTTCTTTCTGTTTTGTGTGCTAGCAGTTTACATTAATTTTTAATTGAATCTTAGATTATCAGTGAACTAATTTTTAGATGCTAGGAACGAACAGGTAAAAACTTATGGTCAAGGTTATTCATTGAGATAACTGAATGTTATTAAACACTAGTATTATAAGACTTAAGATTACATTATGATAGATTTTATAATGAAAATGGACTGATTTCTCAACTGAATTTTTATTTTGAAAATTTTGGTCTTTCTTTTTCTTCCCTTTTCGATTAGTGCTGTTATAGTAGTACTTGGAGGTTCCAGCTGAAATGAGGATTACACTGAAAAATGAGAAAAGCCTAAGCTCTGGGTCTTTATCCAGGAAATCTTTGGCTTCTGTCAGGTGACTTGCTGGAGCCAAGATCTCAGGTTTTTTTATCGTGAAAACTAATGCAATGCCAGTGGTGCTGGGACATTCAGAACTTGCCATCCATGACACTTGTTCTATGGGTGTATTTTGTATTTAACATGTAGCAGATAATGCTGCATTGCCCTGCGCAAGGTGCACGGTACTTTGCCCTGTAACACTGTGTCACCTCTAGTAAAGGTCAAAAATTGTACCAATTCTTAGAGTAACGAAACAAGTATAATGTAATAAAATTAAGAATATACCAGACTGAATACTGAAGTGTTTTAATTTTTCAGACCGTAGCACTGCGAAGGAGAAACTCTGCAGACTTTTCTCAATGACTCTATAGCCAACTGATGTAACAATGGTACTAATATTGGGACGCAGACTGAATAGAGAGGATAGTGGGATACGAGATTCCCCTGCAACCAAGCGGAAAGTTTTTGAAATGGACCCAAAATCGTTGTCAGGCCCTGAGTTTTTTGACTTCTCCTCGGGATCATCCCATGCTGAAAGCATTCTCCAGATCTTCAATGAATTTCGAGACAGCCGGTTGTTCACAGATGTTATTATCTGTGTGGAAGGAAGGGAGTTTCCCTGCCATCGAGCGGTTCTATCAGCCTGCAGCAGCTACTTCAGAGCTATGTTTTGCAATGATCATAGAGAAAGCAGAGAGATGTTAGTGGAGATCAATGGCATTTTTGCTGAAGCTATGGATTGCTTTTTACAGTATGTATACACTGGCAAGGTGAAAATCACTACAGAGAATGTGCAGTATCTCTTTGAAACATCAAGTCTCTTTCAGATTAGTGTTTTGCGTGACGCCTGTGCCAAGTTCCTGGAAGAACAGCTGGATCCTTGCAATTGCCTGGGAATCCAGCGCTTTGCAGATACACACTCGCTCAAGACACTGTTCACCAAGTGCAGGAATTTTGCGCTGCAGACATTTGAGGATGTGTCCCAGCATGAAGAATTCCTCGAACTGGGGAAGGATGAGCTTATTGATTACATTTGCAGTGATGAGCTAGTGATCAGTAAGGAAGAGATGGTGTTTGAAGCTGTCATGCGCTGGGTGTACCGGGCAGTTGAGTTGCGAAGACCAGTGTTACATGAACTTCTGACGCATGTCAGGCTCCCGTTGTTACACCCAAACTACTTTGTTCAGACTGTGGAAGTGGACCAGCTGATTCAGAATTCCCCAGAGTGCTATCAGCTGCTGCATGAAGCCAGGCGATACCATATCCTTGGAAATGAGATGATGTCTCCCAGAACTAGGCCACGCAGGTGAGGAATCTCCTCCCCCCCCCCCCTTATTTCTGTAGGAGAATGGCGTGGCTTGATGTACAGATGTTTGATATACACGTGCCCAGGAAAAAATCACTTGCAGATTATTTTATTTTGCATTCTGGAGCCACTACAGTTACACTTCTGTACTTCCCCACAACATGTGACGCTCACGTCTTGAAAATGTACGTAAGTGAGTCTTTTTGCACAGATCACTTCATTGTTATCAAATAAACAACTGTTCAGGTAAGTGACGTTATATTACCTTGCAAGTAAAACACTTTCTAAAGGTTAATGTTTGCTAGGTGAGATCTTAAGTTATTTCACACAGTAGCAGTGTCTTGAAAAGAATGTACTGTGCTATAGCAGGTAAACCATTCCGTTTCCCAACCTTCTTTCTTTTTATAACAAAGTCATGTAAGTGTACGGCACACTATAAAGGATGTGGATGGGGATATATATTCGGAGCATTCACCTGCTACATCACAAATACTTCACAGATGGAGTAGTACACGGAATTGTAATAGAAAATAGACAGCAGAACAACAGGTTCTTAACTGTAAAGAAACAAAATTTTGCATTTTTAAAGAATTATGAAACAGTTCCTGAAGTATTTCATGCTTACTCTGTGACGCTTTAATAATTCAGAATTGCTGCTACTTAATAATGTGTTACACAAACAGGTGACTGAAGTTGCAAGAAGAAATGAGGAAAAGTCCATTAGTGGCATTTATGGGCAATGGTGGTTATATTTCTTTCTTTTTCCCTGAAAATATTTTCCCGGTAAGAGCCTTACCTCCACATGATAGTTGACATGATAGTTTATTGTTAACTCCAGCTGATTTAAGCTGGAGTTTTAAAATCATGTTAAATTGAAGTGATGCAATGATCTGGTCTAGACAAACAGATTGTGTTAGGAGTTACTCCTCTTTGTTTACTCTTAGTCATATGTGGTTGCTGTACAGTGACTGTGCAGGGAGCCTCTTTTTTTTTTTGGCATGTGTTAAAGGCTTGCTTGGGGCAGGGGGGGTGGAATATTTGGCCAGCATATGTCCCATTAGTGGCTTTCCAGTCTTCAGTCCTGCTGTGAGAGAAGAAATTCTTCTTAAACTCCTTGTAGCCCTGCTGCCAGGTTTTCTAAGCTGTACGCTGCCATGGAGGGTCTTTGGAAACCTTTGGTTCATGGCAGTTTGGAAACTGGTGCAACGATAGTTTCTGAGGCATTTCGTACCCTGAGTCTGGGCCCAAGGGAGGGACCATGGAATTCAGGCCAAGGACAACCTTGTTTCATGAGTGAGTTGGGGAGGAGGGGGGGACTGTATCTTGTGGTATTTGGTGTGGTGTTTGTTGTATGTTTATTACTCAATTTGATAAAGAAAGCAAATACCCTCAGACTTAGCAGTTTTGTCAAAGTGCATAGTGTGTATGTACCTGAGAATCTGAATAGCCTCAGTGTAGCATTGCAGTTTGTAAATGAAGTACCATGCCTAATACAGGTGATTTCTGAGGTTGGGGGAGTGGGTTGGTTTGGGGTTTTGTTGGTTTTACTGCTGAGCTTATTAAACTGCACTGTGAATTCGAGTAGGCAGGAACAAGAGAAGTAATTTACAAAGAGAAAAACTGGCTAGCCTCCCAGTAGGAATTTTTTTCCCTTTTCTATATTACATTCATGGGATAGTTCTTTGTCATTTGTTCCTGTTGCTTGTTTGTTTCTGTTGCCTATAGCAAAAAGAGATTGTGTTTTAAAACAGTTACCAGGTCCCCCTTCCCCCATGTTTTCATTACACCTTTTCTGGGCATTTCTGGGGGGGGTGGAGAGCAGAGGACACTGGAGAGCTCTCTTCCTTCTTTCTTGCCTTCCTCCAATTTCTTTATATAAACTGTTTCTAAAAGGAGACAGGCTGCAGGATCAGAAATTCCCTGCCAGTGTTTTTACTGAAACTTCTGGAAATTAATTGTGATTCCTTGTATGGGTATGTATGTACCTATCCGTTTTTTTTCTAAAAGAACAGTGGGGATTGCAATTCGCAGTTGATTTTTTTTTTTTTCTTTTTGAAGCCAGTGAAGAGTTACCTGAAGTAAATAAAAGTTTAAAATATGGTGTAAAGGTTGCTTGCTTGCTCTTTGTGTTGTATGCCCCTAGGCATCGTTGACACATGCAGAAGGTCTTTTTGAAAGAGCTTTTCAGTTATGTACTTGCAATGACATAGTGACATCTTGAGGTTGCCTCTCATGTTCCTTTTAAGTCTGTCTTGTCCCCTGCTGGTTGTGTTCCACAGCAAATCTCCAGGCTGAGATCAAGCAGTGAGCAATAATACATTTCCATATACAAAACAAAACAGGCTCTTCCTACTGCAAACTTTGAATTATCTTCAGATTTTCATATACCTGTGAATTCTTCAGTCACAGAGTTCCTGTTAAGCTGTCTGATAACTTCTAACTAATTAAAGAGGACACTCATATATTGTTATTATATTTATACATTTAACACATCCTTTTTGGTTGCCTTTAGAAAGCTTTAATGCAGTCCCCCAAGGAGATGAGGTTTTATTTCACTTTACATTTCTGTCTGTTACCCATTTGCTACCCAAAAGTAAATTAACAGGGGGGAAAAAAAAGTGATTTACCAGAATCCTGATAATTTGTCTCCCAAACTTAAAATGTTTTTGAATTTAATCTGTTTGAACTAGTGAAAGTTCTTCTGTCCAGCTGACGCTGTGCTGGTTAGCATTCTCACCTTGTCTAGAGGTCTGCGTGTAACTCAGGACCCCTTGGAAACCTGCTCTTGGGAATGCACGGGATTATATGATACTCTGTCAGTTGTCTTCCGCTCCCCCTTTTCTATTTTGTGTACCTTTTCCTGATAAGAGAGTGTCTTCTGGAATCTCTAGTGCATTTTTTTAGCTCACCTCTGTTATTCTGCTCACACCCTTTCTTCTGAGGGCTACAAGGAGGACTTTCTGTACCACTGATTGAGATCACAGCTTTTTCTAATCTCCATTCAAATATATCCTTAGTTCTTTTCTGGAATTAGCCTTTGTATGTTCCTTTTGTGTACTCCCCACATTTATTTTATTTTTCTCTTAAACTGATGTGCCCTCCATCATTTGCAAAAAAATCTTTTGGAACTAACCTTAAAAACTCTACAGTGCAAGATTCCTTCAAGAAAATGTTTCCTAACTGAAGAAAGGATATGTGGCCATATAGGTGCTAAAATGTTGGGAAAATTTTTTTTTTTCTGTGGATTTGAAATACTGTACTAAATTAAGATTTCCTTTAAAGAGCAAAACTCCATCACAGCAATTCATAAAGAGCTCTCTCCGATCAAAGATTTTTGGTTCATTTAGTTTTAAAGTAAAGATTGATAATCTGGTGCAGTAAGCTTTTCAGTTAAGTGGAGATCTTGATTCTAATCTAGAAAGTAATCAACAGACAAACCTCTTTTGTACATACCAGTTAGTTGATGTATTTGGGCTTGCTTCTAAGGCAAATTATTAGATGAGTTTCTTGCTTTTAAGGAAATTCTCTTTCTGGGTAATGCTTTGCTGGCACAGGAACTTCCCCTCTCTTACCCTTTGAGAGATTCTTTTCAGAGTTGTTCCTCAAAAAAGCAAAAAACAGTAACAGTAAATGCATAGAAACCAGGAACAAGCATCACCTCAAAGCTGAGCAGCTGAAGAGAGTGTTTCTTCTGACTAGTTCAGGTGTGTAAGTATGTTTCTTCAGATGCATATCTTCATATATATAATCTTATAGTACATTATCATTTAGCATTGCCTGTTCAAAATATTCTGAGTAGAAAGATATATCGTATATTTAAATTGTGGTGTGCGGTGACAAGGAGATAGAAGGGCTAACTAGTTTTATTCCTGATGTTTCAAATGGGGAAAATCTCATCGGGATTTATAAGTTAATATATGCGTAAGTTCACATGTTCAGAAATTTGGGGACAGATCATGCAACTTGTATTTCAAATGCAGTCATAAGGCAATTTTTTTTTTTTTTGAGAGAGGACTGCAGCACGCAGCAATGGTATGAATGAGATGCCTGTTCATACCAGGATCGAAGTTAAATCACAACGGAGCAAAAAGGCTTACTAAAAATAAAATTGATCTTGTATTCAGTCTTACTTGATGAATAGACAGCACTCCTTGAAATAACTGTATCAGTGCAAAATCCTTTAACCTAAAAATGCCCTGGAAAGAAAGGATTTTGACAAATGCTTACAAGAAATTATACATTTGAGAGAAGGAATAAAAGTTGGTCGTAGTTTGATTTGCATGTTGAAGATGGTTGGTTGATTCTCTACATTCAAATGTGGATTAACATATAACGAGTTTTGTTATTGCTGTGAATACAGGATTTGTATAACGCAGAAGCATCAGGTTACTAGAAGGAGAATAAGAGTCAGGAATAGAATTTGAAGGCTTATTTGTGTACATTGCAGACTGTCTAATGCTTAATTTTTTCACACAGTTCTAGTTTTTGTTTTAGGCTTGAATTTTTATTTCAGCATTCCTTAATATTTCCTTCTATCACTACAGTTTTTTCACTTTTTCAGCTGTGCATTGGCTCTAAGGTTTCTTTCTTTTCCCTTATTTTGGGGACTATATGCCTTCAGCTTTTTTTCACAGGAAATAACCTAAAACATTTTAAACTTTTTGAATATTTAAGCACTGTAAAATACTATGACTCATTGTCTCAAGCCTAACTTGAACTCTGTTTCTGATATCTCTACATACACAGTCAAAGGAAAAATATTATTAGAGTAGGGCTTTCTGTATTTTTTAATTATTTGATTTTTTTTTATATAGAATGTTGTGAGTGCAACTCTTAGAGTAAGGGCTTTCTGTATTTTTTAATTATTTGATTTTTTTTTATATAGAATGTTGTGCAGTGCAACTCCACTTACACAGAACACCTGTTGGTGTGGTAACCTGCTATGTAATGAGAGAGCTGGAAACAGTGAAAACCTCTAACTGTTTGCTAAATGATTCTTTTTTCTTTTTTCTTTTTTCTTTGCTGTAGAAGTTAATGCTAAATAGTAAATTTTCCAATTCTCACACAGTGTTGAAGACAATGTTGTTTGTCCTCCATGTACTAATTATCTTCTACACCTTAGTTTTCTGTGTTCACTTTTTTAGATCAACTGGTTATTCTGAGGTGATAGTTGTTGTTGGAGGCTGTGAACGAGTTGGAGGGTTTAATTTGCCATATACTGAGTGCTACGATCCTGTAACAGGAGAGTGGAAGTCACTGGCTAAACTTCCAGAGTTTACAAAGTCTGAGTATGCAGTGTGTGCTCTACGGAATGATATTCTTGTTTCAGGTGAATAATCCTAAAAAATTTAAGACTTCCTTCTTTTCTTTGTTGGTTTTGGGGGTTTTTGTTTTTGTTTGTTTGCTTGTTTTTTTAAAGTAGTGTGACAGATCTTTGTACTGTCAACTTCCGGAAGCTCAACTGAAAGTAACTTTCTGATGTAAATGGTAAACATCAGCCCCAAACCAATCTTATTGTAGACAAAAGTGTTTTCTGGGATTTTTGTTTGGTATTAATCAGCAGGTTTTTTTACAGCTGATTCCAGGATATCCATTGTATTTAAAGAGACTAGCTTATGCTCGTTAAGTACACTGCTTTAAAATACAATAGTGGCCTGTTTGCAGCAACAGTTGGAAAAATCACAAGCAAAAAATCCCAAGCAGTCTTTTCCCAGCAGCATTTTCTCTGCTACAAAACGTGCTGTGTGCTGGTTAAAAACACCAGTTGCCTAGGAGCACCGCAGCACTGGTACGTTGCTGGTGACTCGTTTCTATTGTATGGCTGCCTAGACTCCAAAAGAAAAACAGTTAAAGCTTCTTCTCATTGTGGGAATGTAAAATGGAAACAAATTCCTTTTAGCACCCGAGTTGGGGATCCGTTTATACCAGCCTTTTACAGCGATATGAGCAATAGCTATAGGTTTTTAAACACCTCTCATTCAGTCTTTTAGCAAGGGTAAATTATAGGGTACAGACAATGGTTTAGACGCCAAGCCCCATGTGTTAGTTGAACCAAAGAAACTGTCTCCTCAGATTTGGAGTACCTGCGTCATTTGAACAAAATGTAAAACAATGATGTATGCACGAACCAAAGAGGGGAAACAGCTAGTGTTAGGGATGTGCCATGAGGCACATAAACGGTTAAGATTTTGAGTGTCTCATCCAGGTAGTGACACTAAAGGAAATCAGAAGAGCATGGGCAAAAGCCATTAAAATGCATTGCAATCTCAAGAAATAATCTCATGTGGTCTCAGCATGTTACTGGGAAAGGCACTCGTAAGTAAAATAACTTACTGTATGTTTTCATGTTTGAAATCTACTGAAACTGACTTTTTCAGTCTAACGTATAAATATAGATAGATCTTTATTTCACCTTAGAAGGATATAAAGTTTTCATTGCCCACTGTAGAGAGGCATGTTAATAGTTAACATTTCTCATTCAATAATGAATTTATTCAAATTGGCATATTTTTGTTTTTAAAGGTGGAAGAATCAATAGCCGGGATGTTTGGATTTATAACTCTCAACTTAACATTTGGATCAGAGTTGCCTCCTTAAATAAAGGCAGATGGCGTCATAAAATGGCTGTTCTTCTTGGTAAAGTAAGAGAAGTATATTTGTAATTTTTTTATAGTGGGGATGTTTGCTGTGTATAAGAAAACAGTGGAGAAACATACGTACGTATTTAGTATTATTTCCTATCAAATATTTTAAAAATACATATTTTCAAATAAAAGAATATTTTAAACTGCTAGGCTCTTCATTAGTTAGACACTATTCGTGGATGTGAAAATCATGTTACCCCTCAGTTTTTTGTTGTTTTTTTTTTTTGGGGGGGGGAGGTATTGTCATTGAAATGTCTTATCCCCAAGAAGCAGTTTTTTGGGAGGCAAAGAAGCATTGGGATTTACCTGTGCTTCACAAGTGCTGTCAAAAGTTTAACAGTTTATGCAGTTATTAACAGAAACTGGTACTGCTCTGAATGTCAGCTCTGTGCTCTTTTATTTAATGTTTTATATTGAAATTAACCAAATATATGCTGTGGGGAAATAGGAGGTTTCGCTGTACTTTGGAGGCATATATGCCGTAACATAAAAACAGTAGTTGGGATCAACTGCCTGTGAGAATTCCACTAATGAAAGTTAGGGAAGATGTGCATGGTGGTGTCCCTTAGAGTGAGTAACTTCTTGGAGATGAGACTTGCAGCTGGAGCAAACAGTGGGAAGAAGGTAGACACAAATAATAATGAGTTCTGCTTCTTTCTTAAATATGAGAGAAGCAACAGGAAAGTAAAGAAAAGTTTACAAACTGAAAGGAAGAAATATTTTTGTAAGCAAGTAGGAAAAAAGTAAAACACATAAAAAGCAAAGGTAAATTCAGATGGACTTTTGCTGTTGCTGAATGTAATCTAAAAAGAGAAATGCAGAGAAGTGCCTTTTTTAACAAATGACATTCAAATAGGAAGTTTCTATCTCAGTATTAATAATACTATGCTTTAGACGTGTGTTTGCAGCATCATTCCACGTGTGACTGAATCGAACTCTCCAGAGAGTCTTTACCTATTATTTTAAGACCATATTCTTCTCCTATGTAAAAATCAAAAATTTTTGGAAATTTTTGGAAAATTTGAGGAAAGTATCCCTTCACAAACCTAGCAAATTAGGATTCTTGCAGCTTTAATTTAATTTCATATTTAAATGTAATAACTACTCTAAAAATGAAACTGATCGTTTTTACCACTTTGCATAGGTATATGTTGTTGGAGGATATGATGGGCAAAACCGCCTCAGCAGTGTGGAGTGTTACGATTCGTTTTCCAATCGATGGACAGAGGTGGCTCCCCTTAAAGAAGCTGTGAGCTCTCCAGCAGTCACCAGCTGTGTTGGCAAACTGTTTGTGATCGGGGGTGGTCCTGATGACAACACGTGTTCTGACAAGGTCAGTTAATTGTGTTTGATTGCATTTTCTATCCGTGGTAAACAGTATTGCTGGTTTAAAAACAAATGATACAGAGATCTGTTTTAACTGTTTTGCTGAATGGAGTATGGAATTATTATTATACAAAGATACAGAGTAGAAAACATTAACTCAATAATATACTGTTACTGTGGTCTTTCTCATGGATGCTGTCATTGGCTTTACAAGTTCTGTGAATTCTTAAACCTGAGTGTTAGGAAAATAATGTTGAATATAGTGCATATATAGACTTTATTGATATATGGACCTATATTTATATTGACTTAATTTTCTTGGTGAGATATTGCCCACCAGGTACTGCTTCTTTGGCTCTCCTTGTATAACCTGTGTGGGTGTGCCAGGTTATTTCAGGTAGGCTTTTAATCTGAAATGCATGTATTTTTTTTTTTTTTCAGGTTCAGTCTTACGATCCCGATACTAATTCTTGGTTGCTCCGTGCGACTATCCCTATTGCAAAAAGATGTATTACGGCTGTGTCTTTAAACAATCTGATCTATGTTGCTGGTGGGCTTACCAAAGCAATATACTGCTATGATCCAGCTGAGGACTACTGGATGCATGTACAGAATACATTCAGCAGACAGGTAATTAACACTAAAAGGCCCGTAGACATCTGAAAGGTATTTTTTTACATGAGTATCTTGGCATGAAATGAGTATACACTTGTTTAACACTGTTAAAATTGCATCTCTGATTCCATTCTTACTACTTCATCTATATAATTCAAAATCTCACAGAAGAGGAAGTTTCTAAACCAGTTGCTTTTCAGCTGGGTGTCACTGTTAGCCAGTCCAGTCTTTTTGTTTGAGGGCAGTTACTGTTCGAGAACAGTGTAACAGTATAATGGATAATGTTCTAATTGTATAGAAATGGATCTCTGTCAAGTGCTGCTGCATGTTTTAATTTAGGCTGAAGATAGTAATTTCCTTATAATTGATTAAAGCCTTTCAATGTAACAAAAAATATTGAAGGTTGTTTTTACTTTGTGCTGTACAGTGGGGTTTTTTCACACTGTATCTGACTTAAGCAGCGAGGGCTGTATCACTTCCACATCTGGAACACTGAGCAGAATTTAAAAATGTGTCCCCTTGGTAGTAAAGTGTGTGTGTCAGTTAATTTTCCCTATGTTTTTAAAACATCAATCACACAGTCTACAGTATCTACCTTAACAGAAACTTGTTCTTCTTTTTCCTGGCCTTACCTCTATTCCTCTGTTTTGATATGTGTTCTCTATTTAACTGAGTATTTTTTCCATGCCTGCTTTTAAGGAAGAAATAAAATCCTCTCTCTTTGTTTGAAGTAAGACATAGTGCTGTCTCTTTCTTTGTCTTTCTCACTTTCATGGTACTGTTTTTTTCCTCTTCTCTGTTTATATCCCTCTTCATTATCTGTTACTCCTCTAAGGTTGTTCTCCTTGTTCCCATTTTTTGCATTAATAGTACCTACTGTGGTCCCTCTTCTGAAAACCTTTGTTTTCTCCTCCTTTCCTTATCTCCTCCTTTCCTTATCTCAGGTGTTCAAATGGTAAGTACAGCGTTCAGCTGTATTCCATTGTATCCCGTGTCTGAGCTATGTGTAGTGAAGGCTTAGACCTGAAATAGTCTTTTCTGTAGGATTGTGCTGCTGCTTTCCCCAATTATTGTGCTTTCTGTATTGGCCCTTTCAGGAGGGAATAGTATAGGCCAGTCTGTTTACAGACGGTAGGCACAATGCTGTCCTTCTGCACTGGGGTAGACATGCAGAAATTGAGGTCTTGTCTTTTAAATAATCATGTATTCCTTTGTGTATTTTGAAACAGGAGAATTGTGGCATGTCTGTGTGTAATGGAAAAATCTATATCCTTGGTGGAAGACGAGAAAATGGTGAAGCCACAGACACTATTCTTTGTTATGACCCTGCAACGGGCATTATCACAGGAGTAGCAGCCATGCCCAGGCCAGTATCATATCACGGCTGTGTGACGATTCATAGATATAATGAAAAAGGCTTTAAACTCTAATTTTTTTCTTGAAAAAAGAAGACGGCATGAATGAATCCAGTGGTCTGCTGCAAGACAGGCTTTTTAAAGATTCCTGAAGTGGGAAAGTGCCCTTTCCCTACCTAAGTGTCATATGAAAACTATATCCTGTGCCTTTAGAAAAAGGGTTAATTTAACTTACAAAACAAGTCTACAAATCTATCCAGTAACCAGAGTTCAGTTATATCGGCTATGGGCTCTGATACAAGACCAGTAATAGTACGTTGTACTAGTGTTCAGAAAGTTTGCCCTGTGTGTGATTAGTAATTAAAATCTTGGAAGCTTTGTGGGGAAAGTGCCTTCACAAGCATTTGTGCCTGTGTCCTAAGAAGTGATATCTGCAAGGTGTTTCAGGTTCTGCTAATTGGAATTTACTTGCCTATGTATTTTTCCTAAGAATCATCTAGGATAATTACCTACAATTAAAAAAAGCTTATAGAATTATAATTCATATGCACAGCATTCTTACAAGCAGATTACTTGGCTTAACCAAGTAGATTTTATGTCAGATCATGCATGGTTTGGAATTTAAAAAACAAAAAACAAACAAACAAAACAACCCCAATTTAAAAAACAAAAAACAAACAAAAAAAACAACCCCAGAACCAAACAAAACAAGCTACATAGGACAAACATTAGAGTCTTTGAGGAATGCTTTTTTCTGAAGGAGAAACTGGTTGTTTAGTGAGCCATTGCAACACACTGCAGTGACGATTGTGTACCTTAACGCTATGGACCTTATTCATAGTGTTGCTAAATGTTTATCAGAAGTACAAGGTTACATGACATGGAAAACAAGTGACCGGTGGAGTGTAGGCATGCATCTGTGAAGCAAATTTTGAATCCCAGTTCTTAACTTTTTGAATAGTATGGCTGAAGTCTGAAAGTTACTGGGTTCGCTCTTTGCTCACTGCGAAGTATCTCTAAACTATTCACGGAATAAAGGATGATGAATTCTGGATTCTTCCACTTTTCTGCATCACATTATAAATTACCTGATAATAGAGGTAGGGACTCAGGTTGCACCCTACAGCTTATGAATTGGTCTTTTCAGATATCTCATCTGCAGAGATGGCAGAGTTATCCACCAAGTATTTCTTGGCCTTTCTTCAGACAATCACTTACTCTAGCATAGCTAAACTACTGTATAAGCTGCTTGGCCACAGATAAAGAAATTCTGGAAAGGTCCCTTCTGTCACCAGAAAAATATCTGTGGACCTGTCCATGTAGCCATATGACGTAATTCTCACATAACATGTTTTGGCTAATTTTGAAGCCTAGGAAGTGCCTGTATTTTGACCCACTTTTAAGTCCTCCCTAGATTTATGTACTGGGTCTCTCTATTTCCAATACACGCTTGTATAGTTGAGGCACAAGTTCATAAAAACTGAAATAGCACTTGAGAGTTGGAAAATGAATAGGATTGTCTGTGTACCAATTTCCTGTTAATCACCAAAAACCTCAGGAACTGCCTTTCAAAGGAATTCTGAGGACAGCAGCCAGTAGGGAAGTTGGTCAGTGCCAGGGCAGAAAAAAAAACCATAAGGCCCCTGCAGAGACAGCCCTGGCCTCGGGGTTCTGGTCTCCGTGCTTGCTCAGGAGGGTGAAAACAAACACCATCTCTGGAACGTTGTTTTGTTCCACTGGACTTTCTTCATCTGTTTTCCCAGAGTATTTCTTCATGAGATGGAAATTCTGACCCTCAGTGAAGCTATGCCAAGCTGGGAGTAATTTTCAGTAACATATTGTCATGACTTTTAAAGAGCACTGGGAGCTGCACTTCATGATGCATTAACTTGTAACCTCAGGAAAGGACACAAACTTTAGTTTCTGGCTAAATACCAAACACTGCTTTGTATATGTTAAGAATACTGATGAAATACAAATCTCTGTGTATCAGTGATGTAATTAGGAAGTCAGTCCCTGAGCATGTACATTCACGTTGCCCTAAAAAGAAAGTCCCTCGGTAATGTAAGACAAATGAATCAGATAAATTAATCCTTTTCTAAGTTTCTTGTGTGTCTGCTTGCCAAGTGTTACTTTGAAAAGGTAATTTCAGTACCTGTGAATAAGGTCCGTTGATAGCAATGCTAATTGCCCAGTAACTGATACTATATACTAACACTGTATATAACTTGTGCCATCATTGCAAATGAAAATATAAAAAATGATAGGAGCACTTCATTAGAGATGCAATTTGAAAAATACTCTTCTTTCCTTTGATTTCCTTCTTGTTTGTAGTAAGACTCGTAATGTTGATTGTCATACTAATTTTAAACAGTCTTTATTCTGTAGGTGTAGAACAATGTCATTTATGTATAGGTATCTTTTATTCTGTGTTTATAATACTGCACTACTCTGTAAATAACAAGATACTGCTTCCTATGATTTTGAAGATTCATTTTATAGTTTAGTTGTTTTTTCTTAACAATTTATGTACTGTTACCTATTATTTTGAAAATGACAGTGTTTAATGAACCAGTAAATGCAGAAATGTAGACGTAGAAGAAAACTTCTGCTTACAATTCTTGAGAACCTGTATTCAATACTGAACAGTTACATGTGTGGAGCATTGCTAAAATAGTTATTCGTGCAATGATTTCCTTAAAACAAGCAGTGACTTTTTTTTCTTGTTAACTCTGTAAATAATTTGCATTTACGGCCTGCTCTGTTAGAACAATTATTTTTAGATGTGCTAGAAAAGAACAATTCAACTTCGGTTTAATGAAAATGTACCATTTTTCCAGAAGGATGCATTAATTTGGAAGTCGCTGTCCTGAGCCCCCTGTTCTCTGATGCATTTCACTTAGGTATAGATGAATTTGAGTATTTAAACTCCCACTGTTATGCATATCTAGCTGCTTGCAGTTTATGGGCTTGAGCAGCAAGTTGTTTGGGTTTTTTTTTTTGTCTCAGCTAGGAGAGAAAATTATGAATGTTGTCCAGTATAATCAAAAGATTTCAATCATGAATAGTAATAGGTTTGACAGCTCCAAAGTAGAGACACCTGCACAAAGATATAACTTCAGTCTAACCATACATGGGAAGAGGGCTCAAGTATTTCCAAAGTCACACCTAAAAAAATAAATTTTAAGAGTTGTCTAATATTTCACTCCACTAAACAAATAATTACCTTTGAAGTATTTCACTCTTAAAAAGAAATGAGACTAAATGTTTTCCTTGTCCCTTTTGATGTCCACTTCATGAGTTATGTCCTTCTGTTCTTAGCAAGATTATGTAAATTGAAAAGAAAGTTGATGTTTCCTTGCAGCCTGGCTTCAAGAAGGTTCTGAATAGATAACTGCAGTACTGCATTATAGTGCAGCCTTATAGCCGCCTGCTTTTAGATATACCATGCATTCCCTCATTTTACAGCCATCAAGTGTGTAACATTGCCTGGTAATCGTTTAGTTTTACCTGTAGGCTCCCTTCTTGGTAATGCTTAAGTAGGCATAATTTGTGGAATCTCTGCCATTTGTACCATCAGATAATTCATTTTATACTATGTGCCTGGTATGCATTTTGAGGATTAGACGCTGTGCTTTCCACTCTAGCACCAAGGGTCTGGAGTTGTACTGGTATTTTTTTATTTTAATTGGCACCAATGCAGTTCTAATCAAAGATTGCTTTCGTTTCTACTCTCTGAAGCACAGGTATCTTTAATGCAGATTATGTTATATAATATTATGATAATTTACTCAAGCTTTTTAAATGGTGCTTTTAACACTGCAAATTTTTGAGAAAGGCTGACGATGTAGGAAGAGAAGGTGTTCACCTTGACAGAGGCCCAGAGGAAGCTTTGGTCAGTTGTGCTTGAGAGCAAGGACACTGATTTGTTCCAGCTTCTTCCTCAAAATAGTTGAGTTCACCACATTATCTTAAATTATTACTCAATTTATCCTGCTTTTGTTTTATTTGAGCTACAAGGACAAAACAAGAAGCAGTCCCACTCCCTGTGACTTCAGGTTTCCCTCCTGCCCAAGGCATGGTGATGTGCTGGAGCCGTCACTTTTAGCAGGTAGGCAGAGCTGTGAACTTAGTCCAGCTCCAGAGACAGAAACGAGAGAAACTCATGGAGGGGGGCATGAGACACGGCAGGAGGAAATGCAGTGCATTTGGGGTTTGTGCGTTTGGCTGGGCTTGCTGAAACCAAGACATTCTGGATGCTCATAGGTTTGCAATTCCAGATGCTGAAACTCAGGTGGTAAAAATATTTCACATTTGTCAACTCACTGAACTCAGTTGGAGCGATAAAGATACATATGTGGTCATGGTCTTCTAGTGGCAATGTTCGAGAAAGCCAAAGGTTCATTTTTCCTAATTGCCCAACTGGGCAAGTATATGTGTGTGTTTTTCCTACCGCTGAAGATGGCAAAAGCCAATTCAAAAGCATTAAGAAACTCCCAAGACTTGATCTCTGTGAGGCAAAATGAATGTTTTCATCTGAATGTAGTCTCATGCACACAAGAAAGTACAAATTAAATGGTTTGTTGTGCCTGGTTAAAAAAACCTGAGCAATATATACTTGGAAAAGGAGTCTACAAGGTAAGATGAGATTTTTAAGCAGAAATTTGCTGTCTGGTTGGGGGTCAAGCAGTGATTTTTTTTTTTTAATATGTCTAGCACACAAGTTTCCTCAGTGTTGAATTATTTCAGGTGACATTAATAAAAATGGATCTCGCTGTCAGTTTATCATGATTGTGACAGTGCTATGAGCATTGCCATAAAACAGTAAGCAGCCTCCTACCAACCCCAAACCAGACGTGTGAATCACGTGTTCTCTGCACACTGGCCTTGCATCAGCTGTCTTCCATAACTAATGTTACACATAAATTCATGTTGCTCAGTATATAGCCCTGATACCATTACTGTCTAAGAACTCTATTTACAGGAACATTTCTCTTTTTCTACTGTAGTGCTCCAGTCTATGCTCATACTTTTATGTGTGCACATCTGTGCATGTGAATAATTTTGTGATCATTTTCTGATAATGCTGTTACAAGTAATGCACATAAAAGCCCCTGTGTACAGCATGTTGATAATGTAATTATGGCTTACTTTGTATTATTAGTTCCAAAGAAAATAATGTGTGTTAATTTTGAAAATACCTGTGCCTTGAATTCACCTCTATTTTTATCTATTGTGAAAAAGAGCTTGGATTACTTCTCCCAGTTTGTTATCTGTATTAGGATCGGTCTTACTGTCCAGACTGTTGATGGCCTTCTAAGAGAAATAAATCTTGCCATTCGTTAACTAGAATAGTTAAACCTCTTTTTAGAATATGCCTAGAATGCTTCTATTATTACAATGCTATGACAGATTTAATCTAGGGAAATCAGTATTTGTTTTTTCCTATTTTTTGTTTCCAGCACTCCTCAGTGACAAAGGATTTGAGTTTAGTCTTTGACTTCCTGTCCTTAACGTGTACAGTTTCTTGTTTTAGTCAATAGCCTCTATGGTATTTCTGAACGCTCCGACCTGTCAGTCATGAACCTCTTGTTCAATATATGTAATATGAAGCAATAATATGGTGCAGCATGGCAATAAGCAAAATCAAGAGACTTGAACATAATGTACTATTACTAATTTCATCTGTGTAAATGCTGGACTTATGAATCATTCTCCTTTTGGTGCACCTGTAGCAATTTGGAGTCAGATTAGTAGGAGCTACTTGGCCATGGAAAGAGAGTTTACCTCCCGAACTGTTACTTGTATGATTTTATCTTCACCTGAAACCATGTTTTGATTTTCCTTTTTTGCTGAGGAAAGCAGCAGTTCATGTTATTCCTTGCCAGTTCCTTTATTTACTGAAACATAAAAGGCATAGTTCTGTGAAGAGCTGATCTTGTCTTCAAGAACAACCTGGTGCAGCACAAATGACATTTGAACAAAAAAAGTGCAGACCAGTTACTGCGTGCCAGAGTCAGCGTAATGTTATCTCGCATATAACATTAAGGTCTTCAGATTGTGCTGACAGTAGAAAAGTGATTTTGTAATGTAGCGCAATTGCAATAACACCTGTTATATTTAAATATATTTCTTGCATAATCTTTAAAAGTTTTTTTTTAAAGTTCAGTGTACCTAATAAACATTTGCCTTTTGGAGAGTTCACTGTGTTTTATTTAGGTTATGAGAAGTTTGAGGGTGGGGCTTGGTGGTGCAAGGAGGAAACTCCTTCCTCTTTTTTCTGGGTCATTTAACTTGTTGGATTCTGCCCCTCTGCAGTCTCTATATCCATCAATCTGTTCTTCTGTCTCCCAGTCTAGGTGTTCCCCCTGCTCATCTTTATGTCCTTGTCATGGAACTTAACTATTGACATGAATAAAGGCAAGCTGGAGGCTGTGCAGAAGAGTAAACTTAAAAGCAAAAGAAAACTGGAAAAATTATGAAGCATGGGGGTGGGATGTGAAATATTGGTTAGTCCTGGGTATTACGATGGGGAAAGGATGTGAATGGACTTGGAAGACAAAACCAGCATGGGAAATCAGGAAAAGGTAATAATGCTAGGGAGGTGACTGGCACCAATACAGGTTGGAAAGAATCCTATAGAAAGTCTATTCTCCTAAAATCAGCTTGGCCATCTCAAGGTCCCACTTGCAGATGGCAAGGTAAGGGTTCCGACTGTGATGCGGTGGTATTACTGCAGTTGAACTGATACGAAGAAAGTATTTGGTTTAATACCCCATTTTTTATGGATTACATCCATCTTTCATGTATTTTCAAGTGAAATACTAGCTGTACTCCTGGCTTTCTCTTCCCCATAACATGCATTCTGGATCTCAGACTCGGAACTTGCCCTTCATGTGATCCTAGTCTTACCATCTTCCCAAAAACATTTCTTTTAAACATTATGGCAATCAAATACAGCTTCCATAGCTTTGCTCTGTAGCCCACTGAGATTTAATCTGTATCATAAGTCTATTCCCTGTGTGGTGTATTCAGATGTGGGGTGTTCTGGATATACCAAAATAAAGTCCAAGGCACTGGGACCCTGATATTCAATATACTCTGTGTCTCTCTGACACAGAAATAAGTATAAAGAAAGAAAAGCTCTTTGTAGAAATGGTTCCAGACATTCCGCATTTTAATAAAACTTACTTAAATGGACACGATGATACTGCTGCATCTTTCTTTTCATGTTTTTTCTGCAGCTTTGACCTGCAGAAAACTGAAGTAGCTGCACTAGTTTCAACAGTTTTGAACCTACCCCCACAAAGATGAGAGAATCTGTATGTTGTACTATTGAGAAACGTAGTGGTTTTCAAATACCTTCTAACATGAAATAAAACTTGGCAAGCCAACAGTGTCTGCTGCAGTTCTACAGTGTGGCCAGGCTTGTTTACAGCAACCAAGTGGCTCTTGCTGTGGTGCCAAAAGTAAGTTACAACCAAGTTCAGTGCTTGCAGAAATTTACTTTCCTGAAAGAAGTAACGTTGCCTGAAAGGGAATCCACGGACTGCAAAGCAATGGAAATATTTCTGAGGGCTGGAAGCCCATCTTAAGATACTTTAAGTCTTAAACATAGTCAACTGGTGGCAATATTTTAACAACAGCCTCTTCCTCTTTCTATTAAGCAGGAAAAAGGAAGAAAATAAAATTGAACTACATTATATACGTACTTTTCCTGATGAGCATGATACAAATTCGAGTACAAGAACAGTCTCCACTGATTTGCCATAGTTCACGTTTTTTGCTTGGTAAGAAGTCAGAAAGCCAGTGTAGCAGTCCTGAAATCAGAAAAAAAGAGGACTTTAAGGGCTAAGCCTTGAACATTCAGCATACGCTTGCTAATTAGTGGCCTCAAATAAGTTTGCAAATACATGTATGAGCAGGACATTAATTAATGCTGGTTAGCAGCTCACTGCATGAACCATGGGACTACCACAGACCAAAGCACTATTTGCCATTAGCCACACCTGACAGAGGAATTACAATCTGGCCAAAACCAAACACAAACTGTGGTACGAACTACACTAATCTGACCGGTTTTAGCCCTGATTTGAGAAACTACGAAATATGGTGAGTAGTAAGTATAAGATTTTTTTGAAGCCCATCTGTAACGAGATGAGTGCAAAAGCCTTGTGCACTCAACAGGTAAGGGCAGGCCGGGGCCGCCACCCTCAGTCGTGTGAGGTGACACCGCGCTTGTGGGCTTTTGGTATGTTGCATCTCGGTCAGGCCATGCCTCATTTCTTGGGGTTTTTTCCTAACCATTCGCCTTTCACTGATTACTGTATTAAAATACCTTCTTCAATTTTATTACTTAACAAAATAAGGTTGCTTCAGCCAGTAAGTCAGGATTAGGCCAATACGTGAATATATCTAAAAAGAAACATTACAGCGTCGCTAATCTCGGGTTTTTTGTGGTGTTGAGGGTAAATTACCGCCCACAAACCGTTCGTTACCTCCGCACCCAACGCTGGAGAGATGCGCGGTCG